TTATGACCTAACCTCACCTTGGAAGCCCATACACACAAAAGCAAACCATGCAATCAATCTCATTTAAGAATATTGATACCAAACTCTAGATTAAAATCTTGTACAATGAATTCGGAGGTATCATGACTAAGGGAGTTTTTATTATCAAAAAGCCGTACAACACAATGGTAAAAAACTGGAGTTCCTGAGCCTCACAACCCTGAGTTTAAACACCACTCTCGACACACGAACAACGAAATGTCGCTCTAGTTCTCTCATGCTGTTTCCTCAACTGCAAATGCAAGGGAAAATAAATACAGTGCTCATCTAATAAGTTGGTCGGGAAGATTAAATAAAAAACCAAAGTTTAAAAAACTTTTAGCATAATTCCTTATATAGTGTATAATAAATATTTCATATGTTATCTATTACAACATTCTTATTGAATATCACATCAGCTGTTGCAAAAAAAAGACATTTGATAGAGTCAACATTCTAAATCTGATTCCAAAAGATTTTAAAAACTTGGAATTACAAGGATATTTCCATGTCATAATGAAACAATACGTAACAGAAACTAACATTAATTCTAGTTGTATTCTGTAATCTTAGCTAAAGCAATAAAATAGTAAGTGAAAAAGGTATAAATACTGAAAAGTCAGTTGTCATATTATTTGCAAATGAAAAGTACTGTAAACACAAAATATTTTAAAAAAGCAAATATTTATTAGAACTGATGAAAATTCATAAAGGAAGCTAGATACAATGTTAGTATACAAATCAAAATTAGGTGAGAAAGGAAGTAAGACGAGAATAAACTGGATCCTTACCGCTCTGCTTAAACCAAGTCTTACACTAATAACAAGACAAGCAACTATTTAGTGCTAAAGAATATTCATTGTATGTAATGTTTACATTGATTTATATGAGGTCTGTCAGGAAAAAAATCCAATCACAAGGATGGTTTGCACAGCTTCAGTGTGACCTGGCAGCCAAGGAGAGTGGACTGAATGCATGTATGTGAACAATGATGACTTCACTGTATTAGTCAGTGGGGATGGTAGACTACATGGTGAGTGAGCATGTGTACTGTGTGGCCACTGCATTCAAAGTGACTGAGGGAAAAGAGTAATGGATTGTATCAAATTTTGTGTTAAGCTTGAACATTCCGCTGTGGAAACTATTCAGATAATTTAGAAGGCTGCAAGTAAGGCAACTGGTGATTGGCAGCTTCATCACAACGCACCTGCTCACGCTTCACCTCTCGTGCAGTTTTTTGGTGAAACATCAAATCACCTAGGTGATTCAACCCTGATTCAGCCCATAATGGGCACCTTGCAACTTCTGGCTTTTCCCAAAACTAAAGTCACCTTTGAAAGGGAAGAGATTTCAGACTGTCAGAGAGATTCAGGAAAATACAATGGGGCAGCTGATGGTGACTGGGAGAACTGTGTGAGGTCTCAACGTGCCTACTTTGAGGGGGACTGAGGCATCATTGTCTTGTGTACAATGTTTCTTGTATCTTCTTCAATAAATGTCTCTTTTTCATATTATATGGCTGGACAGACCTTGTATAATGTTAACTGTCCCTTGAAATGCTGTATTGTATTTTTATAACTTTAGATGATACCTAAAGTTAGAAAATACTACATTATTTTAGCTAAGAAACTTACCCTGAATCCAGTTTGTACTGTTTCTTAAATTTTGTTTAACACTTAATTTGATTAATCTGTGACATTCTTCCCACCTAACTCCCACAGTAATTGAGTGTTGATCCATAAAATTCCTTCTTCCTCTATTGTCTACTATTTTTTTAATCCTGCCTATCTTAAATAAATGCATGCTTATATCCACTAAACATTCAGATCCTAAAAAGTTGCTCATGTCTAATCGTACTAACTTGAGGCTTTAAATGATGATTCAGAGGCATTCAATGACTTCCCCATGGTCATCATAGGGTGATTTAGATACTACCCACCTCCTATTGTCTTTTCATTACACTGCCTCAAAATTCCAACAGTTGTCCAGTTGGAACTTTCACTGTTTCTCCGTAATGTTAAATCTTAAGATTCAGAGGGAACTAAAATGAGTACTGCAATTGTGTCCCTGTTAGAAAGCATTCACTCATTATTTCATCATCAAATATTTACTGAAAACTACCACATGCAAGGAACTGTTATAAACCCTATGGTGAAACAAAACAGCCAAAATACCTACCCTTATGAACCTTACATTTTACTCAACTCAGAAGTATGCATTTAAAGTAAATAGTATCCAGCTCACTTCACTCTATAAATTAATTAGGTTCCTGGGAGGAAGCCTTCTATTGCTGCCCTAAAGAATCCTCACCTGGGACCTGATTCTATGTATCAAATTTCTGAGATCTAAGGATCCCACACTTAGAAAAAAAACAAGCATAAAGGCTGAAGATACATGTTCCAGAGCAAATGGCAGGATTTAACTATACCTGATCTGCCTCCAACTCCACCTCACCTGTATCTGCCAAACCTCAGACAAGCAGCTCTCTGCAGTTGTACTACCTCTCTTAACTCTGTTACAGCCAAACCTCAGCATGAAGCAAAGAACACATCCGAGGAAAAGACAGCCCCTTGAGTTATATTATATTGTGACAAGCTACCCTCTAGGTAAACAAAATACCTACGAAAGTTTTGTGTTGTGCTGCTTTTAAAAAAAATAATTATTACTACTCATAATATCCTCTGGAAGGGAAAAAACGAATCTTGAAAATATAGGAAACTGTTCCAACCACCAAAATATAGTTATTTACATAAAACTAATGTTATACAAACACATACACACACACAACTTTTTGAGAGCAGAAAACAGGCTGAAATTTTGATTATGCACTATGCACTAGACAACTCTCGTTCTACTAGCAATTCATAAAATTTTGAAGTGAACACAAAGAGTTTCACTTTTGTTTCTTCTAAAGTATGAAGTTCACTTCCTAGTTACTAGCTTGAAGTTCACTTCCTAGTTACCAGCTTGGTGAATTTAAATCTATCAATTTATTAGAAGTAGGTGGTATAAAGTATTCATACCCATATAAATATTTTAAAAAATAGCTCTAATATAAATAACAAAATAATAGTATATTAATACAGAAAGTACTACCGAAAGTAAACAAATACATTACGTGTTTCTTTTAAAAAGTACAAATACCATGATGAAAGTACAAAATTAATATTGCTCTAAAAAATTCTCCAATATCAAGAAATAATCTGACATACACTAAAAATAGCATCATAATGGTAATACTTTAAATTAACCACTACTCTCTTTATGTAAGGAGGGGGTTAATTAAACTAGAAAACTGGACTTAATGGCCAAGATCACTTTCAGGAATTTAATTCTTTATCCTGTAAGTTTATGTATAAATGTCTGAACCAGGCAGATCTGTATTATCTGATTCTATGTTAAAGAAGTACTTTAGTAAAAATCAGTTAAAAAACTCACAAACTTTTTGCCATTGTTCAAATTTAAAAGGTATTAAAAATTTTTGATACATTTCCCATTTTGAAACAGGCTATATAATGTTCAATGCTGAAAAGAACTATAAACAAAAAGATACCAAACTTATTAAATATAATTTAGTATACATGACCACAAAATCCTGTTCTAAGTATTAACACTTTGTCATGTACTAAGTAAAACATCAAAAACCAAAACTTAAGATACTCTAAAACAGAATAGATGGGATTAGGAGATAAACTGTTCTAAACTCCCATTATTAAATCTAGATTTCACTGTAAATAAACAGCAGTCTGCAATAACCTTCTAAATTTATCAGTCACAGTTAACTATAACACACAAGAGTTACAAGAGAACTTTCCCAAAGGGCCTAAAATAATGCACACTGCCCTTGCTGTCCAAAATTTCTCAGCATCTTCAATTACCTCAAGTACTATCATAAAACTCTAAAAATAATCTCAAATCAAAAACTTAACGGGCTGTGAACATACACCTAGACCATTTTAGGACAGCAGGCCTTATTCTATAACCAAGCACAGGTATATGGCAAAACTACAAGAGGGTGGGGCATGCATGTTCACCCTGATAAGCCACACACGGCTTTGCTCACAGTAACGCATCGATCTCTCCAATTCCAACACTACAGCAATGTTTTCATTGTACCCAAAATGCTGCTCACACTAATACCCAAAATAATTAAGTCATAGCCAACTACTCTTCCGGACAGATATAGTTTAAGCCGTGATAGTGCACTTGAGATTCTGAAAACAAAATCTAGAATGAAAAGAGCGTCTCCCACTACTGACTATAAATCTTCTGAAGCTTCACAAACGGAATCTTTTAAGTGACCATTTGAATGTGTGACTGAGGCCAGAGTAAAGGTTGAAAGATGGAACAAGGTCAAACTTAGGGGACAAAAGATTCCTGGAATAAATATGGCCAGGAATGTTTCCTTTCTTAAGGGGCATTTCCTGTATTAAGAAACGGAAAGAGGAAAGGGAAACAACCAAATCCCTGTACATATAGAGTCCACCTGGTAAACGTATCTGCCCCGCCAGGCAAGCGATTCAGTTCCGGAGACCCTTTTGTAAATAGCAGGCCTGGAATGGTCCTACCTTCGAAATACAAACTGTGCTCAGAAGGGATGACAACTGGTTATTCTTTTTCCTCTTCTTCCTTTTTTTTTTTTTGAGGACAAGTTTAAGGAGCCATATAGAGGAGTGTAGAAATGTGAGGGTCGCTCTCAATAAATACCAGCCACCGTTTGTTACAAAAAAAAAAAAAAATCGGCAAGAAGGAAGTGGATTGAAACCCGCTAACTATACCCTGCTTCCACAAACAGCTCAGCACTGGGAGCAATGCCCCCAAAGGCGACGGGCAGGGGCAGTAGGTAGCGGAGGAGGGAGCCCGGGGCAACGGAGGCCCGAGCGGCTGCGGGGGGAGGCCGGGCAGCTCCCGGCCCAGGCGTGTGCGAGCCGCACGTCGGAAGGAGCGGCGCTGGACCACGCCGGCTGGCAGACTCGCCTCACCTTCTGTGCCGCGCTCTGCTGCAGCACATTCTGCTCCACGGTCATGGCCCCCGCGGCGCCGGCGGCGACACAAGCGGCTGCGTCCGGCTCCTCGCGCCTCCGCGAGCCCTGGCTGCCACGCTCCGCCGAGCTCCCAGGAGCAGCGGGGACGGCGGGGGAGGACAGCGCCCCCGCCAGCCAGGCGCGAAGGTGATGGCGGCTGGCGTGCGCGGGCACCGCGGGCTGGCGGGGAGGCGCGGACAGCGAGGGCCACGCTGCGACTTCACGACTCTGTACGGCGCGCCCTGAGCGGTGCTGGTCCGCTACTGCCAGGTCCCTGAGCGGGTGGCGGACTCCGGGACGCCGGAGGGCGCGAGCTAGCTGGGCCGCGTCACGCGGGCGCGCGCGCGCTCCCTTGCTGGCGCTCAAGGGCCACTGCGGGGAAGAGAGAGGGAACGGAGGGAACTGCCGGACAGAATGGCGCTGTCCTCCTCCGCTGGAGTCCTTCTCCCCTCCCTTCCCCCAACTACCGTCACCGCCCCTGCCAGGCGACTCCGCCCCCGCTGAGCCACTCCCGGCGGCCTCCCTAACCCTACATTGTGACCCGCGGGGTGGCGGGGCAAGGCGGGGCCAGGCGGGGCCACCTTGGAGTCCCGCCCCCCGGCCCGGGCTCCTCCCGGCCAGGCACGGACACGGCGATACTGAGAGGAGCCAGGGCGCGCCCCACAGGCCGGACCTCTGAGTCGCTCCTCTGGCTGGTTACGAGACGGCCGCGGTTGGCTCCGCGGCATTCCAAACCCAGGCCCGAGGCTGCCCAGTGTTTGTCGGATCTGCGGCTCTCCTAACTCTTCCAAATCAAAACATTTCCTTCTAGGCCCCCTAAGGTCCCAAAACTGTTTTGGGTTCCGAACCCCGGCTCCTTTCTATGTTTCCCGTCCTCCGCCCGCGACTTCTAGGAACTTCCCAAGCAATAAACTTGCTCGAATGGAAATGTCAAGAGTGACTTAAGCAAATGGCTCTCAGAAGTCCTTTTGCCACAATGTACTTTTTTCCTTTACTAACTAATCTTTACATAAATCAATAATGACATTCTCCGTCAACGTCATTCAAACATGTGCCAGTCATTGCTAGGTTCTGGAGAAATAAGCATTATTTCCTTAAGATTTGCTATAAATGAATTATGGTCTATACAACAGACAACATTACAAAAGTATCACTGCCTAAATGCTACAATACATTGTAATATCCCAGTCGTCAAGCTATCAATTAACCATCCTGTGTGGAATATATTCATTTATATATATATGAAATTGTAAGGAAAACTTAACATGGACAAAACAATCTCTATCCACTAAAAAAAAATTATTGAGCTTCACAAACTAACCCAGGGATAGGAGGTGAGGGTGCTGCATTGGGGGGGGGGGTGGAATATTCAGTGCATAGTGTCACAAATTCAATACACACATATGCAAATCCTGGCATAAATTTTAATCTGTTGACAAGAAAAGCAAACTTGGCAAATAACCACTGAAATGTAATTTGGCTTTATTGAAGAATCATGGATCAAGTAACCCTTAGGGCTTTGTAACAAATCTATGCACATTATAATCATTTTTGCACCTTACATCATCTTCAAGCACTTTTTGAAATCTTTTCCTTGAGCCTTCGTGTCTTTGGTCATATGATTTTAACAAATTATGAATTTTATGTTATTGATATCTTATGCATTGCCAGAAGAATTTCAGAAAAAGATAGTTGGAAACTCAGTATTTTGGGAACAATGCAACAGTTCTGATAGAAGGCACATTTTTTTTTAATGATAACGCTGAGACCCAAAGAGAGCGACTAGTTAAAGAAGGCATACTAGAGCCCACTTTTCCTCATTTACAGACCAAAGTTCTTTTCAACCTATCAATTTCATGCTTCTCTGTATTCTAGATTTAAAAAGAAAATCCATTAGGTTCACATTTTAATTTAAGAAAGTTAAATCTAACATAAACATCTAGGACTGTGGTTTTTTAAAAAAACTATTGCCATATACTAAAAACTAGTTTCAAGAATTGGGCATGTGTTCCTCTGAGTTAAAATTTTAGTTCCATCAAAAAATTATGTGACCTGCACTCTGGATAATCATCAAATGAAGATCTTGACAGGGTGGTCATACACGTCCACTTTGGTTGTTCATTCCCATCTTACTTCGGATGGTTTCCTACTTATTTTTTTAACCTTAATTGTTATTTTGTAGAACTTTGAAAAGGAAATTTCAAGTTTCATTATAGGCATTCTTTTTTAGAAGGAGTATAATATAAAAAATGGAAATTTGAGAACTTGAGATAAATTTACATATATAATCCATTCCCCGATATTCTGCTTTATTTTAAAAATTTGTCACACTGTCAGTTTTGCTGTTCATGAGTCAGCCTTAATATGTACAGTTGTTGGAATGATAACCTAGGGATACTATTTAATAATTTCTAAACTGTTGCTTTAATTTAGATTGTTGACACTCAGGTAAACACATAAAGTGATAGATTTAGTATAAAATTTAAAATTTAGTTTTAATACTAAGTCTATTTTTCTATTTTGGATCAAAATTGTTTCTTATAATATTCAGTATTGTGTCTTGTGTGTGAACCAAGGAAATAGGTTATGTTCTATTTTGACTATTTGTTTGTCTTTGTTTAGAAAGAGTTTGAAAATGCATTTCTGGACACCCAAGATTTAATACAGTGCTAAAGCACATTTGTAAGACATGAATAAGAGAGAAACATGCAATTTGTAGTGTAGATTTGAACAATTTCCATGACAAAAGAGTGGTTCTTTACTTTAAGAAGGATAAGGATAACTTGTCTTTTCTTTAGATGATTGACATTCTGGAATAAATTATTTCCACCAATAAGAAAACCATAAGCAATTATTCAAAGAGGAGCTCACAGTGGTACCATTTAGTGAGAGGGTGTTCATAGATTAGAACCCGTAAGAATACTATCTTCCTGATACATGGCACAATAAAATGATTGTTGAATTAAATGGGAAGCCATGAAGGAGAGAAAAGAAGTTTTATTTATGCTTTTGTGTGTATGTCTAATTTTAACTTCTCATTCCAATTGTACAGCTCTGTGATTCTGGCAGTTGTATTGTTTCATATAACAAAGCTAATCATTATTAGTATCTCCAGCAGTCAATGGTGCTTTACACATTGAAAGTCTCCAGATCTTGCTTCTTTGTATGCTAGGGCAGTCATAACAAAATATCACAGACTGGGTGGCTTAAACAACAGAAATTTGTTTTCTCACAGTTCTGGAGGCTGGAAGTCAAAGACCAAAGGGCCAGCAGGTTTGGTTTCTCCTGTAGCCTTTCTCCTCAGCTTGCAGGTGCCACACCTGTTTGCTGCCTCTTGGTATGCGTTTGACCCTCTGGGCATATATTCCCTGGTTCCTCTCTCTGTTTTTGTAAGGACAACAGCCATATTGGCTTAGAAACCTATTCTAACAGCTTCATTTTAACTTAATCACCTCGTTAAAGGCCTTATCTCCAAATACAGCTATATTCCAAGGTATTAGAGGCTGGGACTCCAACATATGAATTTTAGGGGAACACAGTTCAGCTCATAACAGTCATTTAATCTCCTTAATCCTACACTTTATACCTTTGTGCTACTGAATATCCTTTGACATGCTTTAAAGAATAGTACTTCTGCATTTTCTGTCAATTTTGACACCTCCAATTAGAATAGTTTTGGGGAAAGAAGTTCTGTGAATTAAAATAGGAATCTAGTCCAATGCAAAGTCTTCTTTAAAAGCAAGTTCTACTTGGATAAAAAGCCACATTTTGTCAACCAAGAATCAGCACAACAGTGCAGGTTTCTTGCATGAATCACTTGCTCCCTTTACCTCGAACATGCCCAAAGGCATACTCTGACAATGAAAATGGCTCAGAGTCCCTCTACCCTTTCTCATTTCTTTCTCTTCTATAGTGTTAGGCATATATTTTCCTAAAGTAATCCTATAGCATATACAGAGAAAACTATGTAAACTAAGTTCACTTCCCAAGACCTCTATCTCTCACACCAGTGCACACGATGACCACACATACACACATCCCAAAGAACAACCCAGGGGCTGCTAGTTCTGTGATGCTAAGCAACTCACCTAAGCCTTTTGCACAATCCTTACCTATTTCCTATCAGGTACATTCCTTGCACTTCAACTTTTTTGCTCTGAATCTCAGAAAAGTCTATCCCTGCATATTCCATGTCCTCAGGTTAGTTGGCTTCAGAATGGATTTGGCCAATGAAAGGCAGAGGTGTGGTATCAGAGGGTGAGGGAAAGGGAGAAGCCAGGGTATGTATTTCTTCTTCTCCCTCCCCGCTTAGGTAGCATCTCCTAGGGCTACAGTCCTTTCGGGCTTTTATCTCTCACTAGACTGGTATACCCTGGTTTAAGTTTCTCCTGGAAATTTTGCTTTCTTTCATCACCCTTCCAAATTAAGAATTATAATCAGTTCTTGAGTACTTTTGTTGTTGTTAAACTCTGGATTAATTTACTGTCCTTGTTTGGCTTCTCAGCTCTCCATTACTTAAACCAATTCTTTGGATTAAGTATCCCTTGATTTAAATATTTAGAGAGCATTCTGTTTTTCTGACATGACCTTTATTGAAATATGTTTTGGATTTAGTCTTGTCATCTATAAAATCAGCATAATAATATAGGGCTATTTGATGATTAGATTATTAAGTACATGTAAAGTATTTAGACTACTACATTATATTTATTTACTTATATAATGTACTTACTGTTTGCCTTATATATAATGAGAAGTATATATTATATAATTGTATATACTAATATATTATAATTATATTATATAATTATTTATAATTAATGTATTATTGTATATATTATATTATAATGTGGTTATATAATATAATTACTTAAGTTAAAATAATTACACTATTTCCACAGAGAAGGAAGCTATGGCTTATTGTTTAAGTGAATTGCCAAGAACACAACCAGAGCACCAAACCAGTCTGAACCCAGATAGGAGGTCTACCTGACTGCAAAGCTTCTGCATTGAAATCCCCTACCAGCCATTTCTAAGTGTGGTGGATGGATTTCTGGAGGTTCTCAAAATCCCTCTCAAGTGGTCAGCAAGATGCTCCCTTTATAACTTTGTACATATCTGTGTGAGGCGAGATTGTCCTCATATACTTCAACCCAACCAAATATGGTAAGAGATAGAATGCAGAAACAGATTAGAGAATTCTGTTGTTTTCTGTTAAATCAGACATTAGAGATCTGCAAAACATCGAACTACATCAGTCTTCTTTGCTAATCCAAAGCTAGTTTTGTTCTACATTTAGATATTATTGTGTAGAAAAAAGGAACCCCAGAAACATGTGGATGAAAGAATAAAACAGAGAATGTGGTTCCACCTTTTCAGTTGTTAAAAGAATCAACACTGATTTATTTGAATGTGCTCTGAAAATGGCAAAGTACAATTCAAATGGATGATATTTTTGTATGCTATAATATTTTGGTGGTATAGAACTATGGAGGTTAGAAACTGGCTTTGAACGATAACCATA